CATAAGGGATAACAGATTTGATAGCCCTCGCATTGCCCTATCCCCATCGGTTACAACAGAAATAGGTGATTTATCATCATGGCTTCTAAAAAATTCTGTAGCACCCACTCGAAAGATTGAGACGTTTCGTCAGCGATTATGGCAGTGGCAAACACAATTGTGTTATGGTGATGATTGACACCAACAATAGGCATAATTGGTCGACCATACAAATTATCTTTGTACGTTGTGTCGAACGCAATTACATCACCGAAGCATGTGTAATCCGATCTCGATGTAGAATCGACCAAATAAGATTATACAATGCCCCCGATTCGTCTACCGAGTATGTCATAAAAAACCCGGGATCATCATGTTCTTATAATCAAAGTAGGCAATAAGCGCATTCACATCCCCATCGATGATTTCCTTTGCTTACCTCTTTGAAGTGCATTGTAGAGGTCTTTATGTGTAAATCCAACATTATGATAGCCCCCTGCCTGCTGCGTTAAATAGTTCATTACTTGTGACGTGCCAACACCAACCTCTTTCAATGTTGTTGCCTCATCGATATCAGCCTTACTTACAGCTCGATTAGAACGCATAAATGGTGTCATAGCAGATGTGCACAATGCATGATTATGTTTCTGATCAGACTTACTTATAACCCACTGATCGTTTGTATTTGTTGCTGTAACTACGACTCTAGCCTTACATCCTGTTCTTGTGACTGGCGTATGAGCACGTTGACGATCAACAGTATTGACTTTTGATACTCGAAACCCTTCTTTGGAACAACAAAATTCTTGTGTCTTCACATTCCCTTCCACGTCAAGCCGTGTTGTTCCCTTACGTGCACTAAACCCATGTTCCCGTGCGAATCCCTTGTAAAAGTGCCAAGCTTGATCACGTGAACAGAAGACTGACCAACCAATCTGTCAGATTCATCAACATTATGTACTTCATGGCATTCCTCGGTTGGCTTAACATTGTCTACATCAGTATTATCCATGGCAAAAATTTTGTTGTGCAAGTTCAGTGCTCCAGGAGTTGATGGATAGTAAACGAAGGTTCATTTTGAACATGTTTCTGTAGTTAAAGGGTGAGTACAACATTAAATTCGCAGTACATATTTAGGTATGTACAATAACTACAAGTATATTATCATTTTAAATTCGCAGTACACTGTTAAAAAAATTGAAACATAAATTACATAAGTTTTAAAAAAAGTATCGATCCTTTTTATAAAAAGTATGGACACTTTCAATATAATAGGTAAACATATGATGTAATAGGTAGCCCTTATATAATGTAATAGTATCGTTTATAATGTAATAGGTAATGGTTATATTGTAAAGTGTCTATCCTTTTTATAAAAGTGTCCATACTTTTTTCACTGTGGAAAACATTAATTTAAGGTTATCTTTTGAGTGAGTTTTAAGATATTAATTTAGTAATTATAGGCGTCTAATGATTTATTTTTTACGTTACGGTATATATTATTATTAAATTTAAAATTCTAAATAATATTTTATAAAATATAAAAACAATCAAATAATTTTTTGTGCAAATGAAATTATTAAATCAATATTGTAGGTGGAAAACATGAAACACTGTTAAAAAATTGAAACATAAATTACATAAGTTTTAAAAAAGTATCGATCCTTTTTATAAAAAGTATGGACACTTTCAATATAATAGGTAAACATATGATGTAATAGGTAGCCCTTATATAATGTAATAGGTATCGTTTATATAATGTAATAGGTAATGGTTATATTGTAAGTGTCTATCCTTTTTATAAAAGTGTCCATACTTTTTTCACTGTGGAAAACATTAATTTAAGGTTATCTTTTGAGTGAGTTTTAAGATATTAATTTAGTAATTATAGGCGTCTAATGATTTATTTTTTACGTTACGGTATATTATTATTAATTAAAAATTCTAAATAATATTTTATAAAATATAAAAACAATCAAATAATTTTTTGTGCAAATGAAATTATTAAATCAATATTGTAGGTGGAAAACATGAAACACTGTTAAAAAATTGAAACATAAATTACATAAGTTTTAAAAAAAGTATCGATCCTTTTTATAAAAGTATGGACACTTTCAATATAATAGGTAAACATATGATGTAATAGGTAGCCCTTATATAATGTAATAGGTATCGTTTATATAATGTAATAGGTAATGGTTATATTGTAAAGTGTCTATCCTTTTTATAAAAGTGTCCATACTTTTTTCACTGTGGAAACATTAATTTAAGGTTATCTTTTGAGTGAGTTTAAGATATTAATTTAGTAATTATAGGCGTCTAATGATTTATTTTTTACGTTACGGTATATATTATTATTAAATTAAAAATTCTAAATAATATTTTATAAAATATAAAACAATCAAATAATTTTTTGTGCAAATGAAATTATTAAATCAATATTGTAGGTGGAAAACATGAAACACTGTTAAAAAAATTGAAACATAAATTACATAAGTTTTAAAAAAAGTATCGATCCTTTTTATAAAAGTATGGACACTTTCAATATAATAGGTAAACATATGATGTAATAGGTAGCCCTTATATAATGTAATAGGTATCGTTTATATAATGTAATAGGTATCTATCTCGCATGTGAGTACTTTATTCCAACCATGTGACAAGTGTGACAACTCCATCAACTCACAACTCAGCTTTGAACTCAATCAATATTGTCTTTTAGCTTGATGGTTCATAAAGCATGTTACTTGAACAGTATGAATCAATTATGCAATTTTCATGTTCAATTTAACACTGCATTTCAAATTCATTTCATATGTAATTGGAGTTTGAATTTAAATTTCAATTTGAGTTTGAATTTCAATATATATTTCGGCTCCACTAAATATTAGCCCAAGCCAATATGCATGTTATCATTGATTATTCCTAATTTTCATTGTTTTTTTCCAACGTATAAACGCGAGGGAAATCCCGACCATTTTATTTTTTGGTCAACTTTAAAGCGTCAGAAACGTTTCGGGCGTATGATCTGGGTGGTATACAAGAAATGTAACAAATAGCAACTAAAATCATAAGTTGAGTACCACCCAAATCATAAGTCTGAAATACTTCCGATGCTCATCAAAATCCAAAGCTCATTTGGTGCCAAGCAAAAGGAAATCAAAATCCAAATCTCATATGATGCCAAGCAATAGGTAGTGGTTATATTGTAAAGTGTCTATCCTTTTTATAAAAGTGTCCATACTTTTTTCACTGTGGAAAACATTAATTTAAGGTTATCTTTTGAGTGAGTTTTAAGATATTAATTTAGTAATTATAGGCGTCTAATGATTTATTTTTTACGTTACGGTATATATTATTATTAAATTAAAAATTCTAAATAATATTTTATAAAATATCAAAACAATCAAATAATTTTTTGTGCAAATGAAATTATTAAATCAATATTGTAGGTGGAAAACATGAAACACTGTTAAAGTATCGATCCTTTTTATAAAAAGTATGGACACTTTCAATATAATATAATGTAATAGGTAAATTTGCAATGCTATCGGTATAAATATACTGGTTTACTTATAAAATAGGTAAATATAAGCGCTACCTATTACATTATATAAGCGCTACCTAGTATGTTATTGTACTTTATAATATTTCCGGTTAAATAATATAACATAACCGGTCTAAATTTTAACCGGTCACTTGTTTAACCGGTCACGCCGTATATTAGCCGTTTTTTAGGCGCCGCACCGCAGAACGACCCGCAAAAATGTCTGAAAGCATAACCCAAAGAGGAAGGTACCTGTATGACCAGACACTGGCTGACTGTTACTCTTATTAAACAAACACAACAAAAATCCCAACTTCCTGACTGCATATTTCTGTAAGGGGTGTTTGAATCAAGGAATCTGAGATTTTTATGAGAATGAAATTTACATTCCTGTTTGGTTGGCCGGGAATATTATTTCCGATAATGTTTTATTATCAATAGTAGATTTTTTGGGGTATATTACCGGGAATATCATTATCTTTCTTTCCTTAGGTATTGTTGGATTACCGGCGTTTTGGACTAAAATGCACTTAGATTTTTATTTTTTTTCAAAAATATCATTTTTCTATCGTTGAATAATAAAAATTTTATGAATGTATCCTTAAACTATTTTAGATTTAAAAAATATATATATAATTAAAATTTTATATGAAGTTCAGATGTTAAAATAAAATTTTACCCTTTCATTAAACCTTTTTATATTTTTAATTTTGTAAAAAATATATAAATTTTATGAATTTAATTTTTTTAAATAAAATATATAAATATTTTCCAAATTTGTTAAAAAAACAAATATATAATAAGGATAATTTAATCAAATAGGCATTCTAATAATAATCTTTTATTCCTTTAACCAAACACGGTAATCTTACATTCATGCTAAACCAACCAAACACAACATTTCAATTAATCATATCCCCTGATAATCTTATATTCACACAGGTAATCTTACATTTAGTAAACCAAACGTACCCAAATAAAACGTTAAAAAACCGCTTTTGTGTACTTTCATGGAAACTACTTTCCTTGACCAATCTCTCTTACATTCCCACAAGGGATGGGGAGACCTATAAACATACCTTTACAATTTTCCCATCTATAATTTCAAACCTTTGAATTCATCAAACCCACGAGACTTAGAAACCGTTGAATTAGACCCGTCTTAGTTTACAGATACGAGATTTCAAGGGCTTACGTGGCTTTGGTTTTTTTTTTGTACGTATATGAATGTTTGGTCGGACTTCATATTTCATTTTCGTATATATAAAGAGAGAAGGCGGTCAGAGCCGGGGAAGCATAATTTTGATCATCACCTCGGAATCTCATTGCTTACGGAGGAACAAGAACACATCTGGGGTCTTATTCGAGATTCAAGGTAGATATTGTTCTATTTTATGTTCTTTTTTCCTCTTCAATTGTTGGAGTGCTTTGCCTTTAACTAGTTTCTTAAATCATGTTGTGCAGTTAAAGGGTTATGGGATTGTCTCTTTCCTTGCTCCTCTCTGCCTGGCAACAGATTCTAAGTCACAGGTTTTTTGATTTGGCTTACAATGTCAGACTCAGTTCTAAGAGAACGGATTCAGAGACCATAACCAACTCAGTTTCTGGCTCGGCTAAGACTCGAAGAAAAAAATCATTGACATTGAAAACCAGCAAACCTGATGACAACAATATAGTGCTTGAGAAGACGTTGTCGTTCAAGGATTTGGTTCAAGAAAAAAGGGATTCATTGGTTTCTAGTGCCTCGAATGGATTGTTGCATAAGCCAATGCCCTCACTTTCATTGCCGGAACCCACGATTTTGTTCTCACCAAGACCCATCAGTGAGCTTGATGCTGCGGCTGTTAAGCTTCAGAAGGTTTACAAGAGTTACCGGACTCGAAGAAACCTTGCCGATTGTGCGGTGGTGGTCGAGGAGTTATGGTGGAAGGTATTAGACCTTGCAGAGCTCAAACAAAGCTCTATTTCCTTCTTCGATGTCGACAAACCTGAATCTGCAGTTTCACGGTGGGCAAGAGCCAAAACACGAGCAGCAAAGGTAATCTTTTTAACACAGTCCAATCCAATTATAGTATGTTTTCAGATTTCACCAGTCAAAATGTTAACGATATTTTATTGTTGTTTGCAGGTGGGAAAGGGTTTGTCCAAGGACGAAAAAGCTCAGAAATTAGCCCTTCGACACTGGCTTGAAGCTGTAAGTTGTTTTGCCCACTTTGTTGGTTCGTTCGGTGGACATAAATACGCAGACATATATGACTGAACCGTTCCTTGTGTTGTTGCAGATCGATCCGAGACATCGATATGGGCATAACTTACACATGTATTATGATGTTTGGTTCTCAAGTGAAAGCTCACAGCCTTTCTTCTACTGGTAATCATTAATTCTTTCGCAGCCTTTGAGAATTGTGTTGAAAAAAAATGGAGTTTCATAGCGTTTTCTCTGATGACTTTCGTTTAATTTCCTTTCTCAATAGGCTGGATGTTGGAGATGGGAAAGAATTAAACCTTGACAAATGTCCGAGAAAAAAACTACAGCAGCAATGCATCACATATCTTGGACCAGTACGTCTTCATTTGACGGCTTGTTGTGTAACTAAATTTTCAGTTTCGGTCATTAATGTTCGCTTAAATGATCATTTACTTGCAGAATGAAAGGGAAGGATACGAGGTAATAGTTGACAAAGGGAGGCTTGTTTTTAAACAAAGTGGGTCACCGGTGAATACACCGGGTGAATGTAAATGGATATTTGTCCTTAGCACAACCCGGGCCTTGTATGTGGGAAGAAAGGAAAAGGGTAAATTTCAACATTCGAGTTTTCTAGCCGGAGGTGCCACCACCGCAGCCGGAAGATTGGTTGCTCGGGATGGAGTTCTCGAGGTACAAAACCAAATTCATGCATGCAATGGATTATGGAATGGAATGTCGTGTGCTGGTTTAAGGTTTTAATGTTCTGTCTCTGACTCCTTTTTCTGTCGTTGTTTTTCAGGCTATATGGCCATATAGTGGTCATTATCTCCCCACGGAAGAGAATTTCTTGGAATTCATTAGCTTTCTCGAGGAAAATCAAGTGAATCTCACCAATGTTAAGGTAAAATGTTCTTTAATTATGGATTAAGATCAGATTAAGAAAGGGTTTTGCTTGTATAAATTCGCTGATATTTACTTTGTTACAGAGGTGTGCTATTGATGATGATCACCCATATGGGCAAGCCCCGGCTAAGGAACCCAAACGGGAGCCATTGGTCGGTTCTGATGACCGCATCAGTGCGGTGGAAACAGGCACGGGTGATCATGACCATGATGAAAAGATTAGCACCAAGGCGCCAGCACCAGGGTTCAACTCGCCTATGAGATTATCATGCAAGTGGACCACGGCGGTTGGACCACGCATCGGGTGCGTGCGCGACTACCCTACTAATCTCCAGTCAAAAGCACTCGAACAAGTTAATCTATCACCAAGGGTTACTCCTGGGTTCACGTTTGGTCCAATTCCTTCACCAAGGCCGAGTCCAAGGATCCATCTTTCCCCAACGATTGCAGGCATGGGACTGCCCAGTCCAAGGCCCATACAATAAGCTAACTAACGCACAAAAATGTTCATTCTTTTTTTCTTTTTGATTCATCATTTTTGTATTCACTTTTTTTTGGGGTGTACCATGAATAATTCATGAAAAGCTAATAAATATAATCATTTTTATTTCTATTTTACTATGATGAAGCAACTCTATCAAACCATAAAACCCTACTTTATTAGTCGTCTTTCTTTTCTTACGCAGTTTAATTTTCTTTCAATCCTTACGTCGCCAGTGGTGATATCAGTGTTAATAATGACTGATTACCGTCAACGATAATTAATTTTCTCTTATTTTATTATTTAGTTTTTAATAATTATATTTTCATAGTGTATTTTTTCTATATTTATGGCATGTCTTTTTTAGATAATTATTATGACTTTTTACCTTAATGACACGTTCTCGATTGTTTGGTCGTTATTTTAGTTGAATTTGATATTGCTACGACTTATCGAGATGACACTTATTTGTTATTATGTTGATCTTCATTGCTTTGGACCCTCGGATTGAATTTGGATACGCGATTTGCGTTTGTGAATAGTTTGTTCGTAGTTTTATCTCCTTTTGTGGTTAGTTTTCCGATGCGATCAGATCTATTTGTATTTATATTTTGTTAAATTTCTTTGATTAGGTTTTTAACTTTTTCCTTACTGAAGACACCAAATTTCATCCCTTTTATTTTTATAATATACTTTTGATTAATATACATTATTGCAAAACTATACTACATATTTACATTTTATTTTTATTTTTATTTATTTTATTTTTTGTGTCAGGCCCAAGATCGGTTTATACGGGGCCCAACAAGATGCCCTAGTCCAACCCAAATCCTAAACATACACACGAGCTAGGGTTTCCAGCTAGCATTCCAAGCGGCGCTGCATCCGTTGCCTCAATGCTCGGCCGAGTCCCTTGGTCAAGCATTCAAACGCCACGACAACAACCCACCGAGTCCACTGCCGGGTTTCTCGCCTCAACATCACCAACACACCAACAAACACAAGATGTCAGTGTTTCATTTGGAATGAAACTCCTAGTTATTTCCATTATAAAAACATGTAACTAGGACACAGAAAAGGGAGAGCACAAGATTTACAGAGAGAGTTTACACGTGAGCCCATACACAGTCATTTTCACACAATTTCACACACACGAGATACACAAGCATTACGAGAGGGTACACAAGAAAGCACAGGAAACTAGCAAATCTCTTGTAAATTTCGAAAGAGAAATAAATAAAAGGTATCGCTTTTACCTTTGTTTGTCGATTCGGTTCCCTTGCACTGCTTGCATGCCGCTATTGTTGAGTTTTTGAATCACCAAGAACCATTCGGCCGAGGAACGAAAGGGAGGCCCTTTGTTTTTCAAAAAGAAAAAATTTCAGATCTACGTTTTTTCTAGTCGATTTTTGAAAAACAATCTTTGTTTTTAGAAAGGAATTCCAAAAAGCTTTCGAGATTTCAAAAAAAAAATATATAAAAACGCGAGTTTTGCCGCCGATGAACGACGGCCGGCGCCGTTTAACGGCGACGGCGAGGCGGCGTACGGTGGCCGTGTTCTGGGTTCATCGAGACCCACGGCTGTGTTCTTCATCCTCGATGAACTGAGGAGAGGATGGAGAGAGGGGAAGAAGGGACATTTCGGCGAGAGAGAGGAGGATGAAATGAACTTCAAAGCGTTTGGTTGAGTTAAATGCTGCGTGTTTCTGTTATATTAAGGGTAAACTATGCCTTGTGACCCTCTGATTCCTAAAACTTCCATTTTACCCCCCAAATCCGATTTTTAAACCCCATTCTCTTTTGAATTCGACCTTCAATCAAGGTTTTCTTTCAATTTAGTCATGTTACTTCGTTTTTATTTTTTATTTATAATAATATTATTATTATTTTAATATTATTACTATATATATATATATATACGCATTTCATATTTTATTTTTATATTAATACTTTTTGTTACGTTTTACAAATTAGTATATATGTATATATTTTTAATTTAACTATTACTATTATCTTCTTTTACTAATTTATATATATATATTTGCGTATTATTACTATATATGTATACTTTTTCTTCATTGATTATTTTTGCTTAATATATTTTAATATATATATATATATATATATATATATATATATGTATATACTTATAATAGTTTATTTATATATCTATTATTATTATGTGTACATTTCAAACGTTTTTATTCGATTACCTTTTTTCTTTACTTTGTTTTTATTTCTTTGATGATCACCTTTTTATTCATTGTATTTGTTTATTCGTTGGTTGTATGTAGATTATTAATATTTCATTTATTTAGTTTACTCTGCTTATTAACCCTTTTTTTTCTCTATTTTTATCTTCATTCTTGTTTCCTTTATTTTTCATTTTTTTTTTCTATTTTCGTTCTTTAACGTCTTTATTGTTAAGGGAATTTCAATCAGTCAAGGGTAAGTAGTTCAGATCGATGTTTTACCTTTTAATTTAACTTTCAATTCTCTTAATTAAAGACAACTGGAAATTACATAGTACCGAAAGGGCAGTTCAAGGGTGCTAATCCTTCCTTGGCTGTAATCGACTCCTGAGCCCGACATATTTCCGGTAAGACGCAGATCAGGTAAGAAATAGGGTATCCGATCAACCCATTTATTTTTAAATAAATGATCGGTGGCGACTCCAATCCATTTTCCTAAGTCGAAGCCCAATTCCGGGGCCCAACCGAAAGACGGTTGCGACAGCTTGGCGACTCCGCTGGGGACACAGGTAAGTGAGTCAGGCTAAGGTAATTACCAGTTGTCTTTTTAACGAAAAGGGTAAGTTTAAATTTTAAGGTAATATTTCGATCCTTATTACTTATTTTTGATTATATTTTTCGAGTAAATAGTTGGACTGACCGTTTTCTATTGATTTCAGCTTTCCAAACATTTTCATCTAAGGCTCTAAACCCGAGCTCCGAACCCGTTTTAAGTGGGGGTGAAAGCGACGCCTTCGTGTGAATTTATTCACCGTATGGGCCTAGCAAGTAGCCTTCGGGATTCATATACCTTATGCCTTCGTGTGAATTTATTCTCCGTATGGGCATAAGGGAATGTGTCCTCTCGAGTTTAACTTAGTCCACACAAGCCTGTGATGGGTTTCGGACTAAGGGTCTGGTAAGCCTAAGGAGGCACCAGCAAGGAGAACTCGAGTACCGTTTTTAGAACCCAAGCCGGGAGACTTTGAATAAATAGAGCCTACCCCAAAACCACATTCCAAAACCGAGGACATTTCTTTCCTAACCTTTTTTTATATGTTTTTTTTCATTTACCATTTATTTTTATTTATTTTTATCTATTTCTATTTTACTAACGTTTTTTCCTTTGTGTTTGTTTTCTAGCATTTGCATCATTACAAGAGGCTATTGATCCCTAAAAAACGTTTGTTATACACAAAATAATTCGAGTTAATGGATAAAGGTGTTGTAATACAAGAGATTGAAAACGCTGAGGCACGACTATGGTCCGAGAAGGCTCAGAAAGAGAAGGGAGACAGTCTTCAGGGAAACTATGTGTCAGAACTGGTTAGTTATGCCGCTGTCAGTCTGAAACAGAATAATGTCCAGGAGCTGCGAAACATTTGGGACAGTTGGAAGAATGACAGAAAGCAGAAGTTCAGCCAACGATATGGTGATATCGCCCTCTTGCTCCATGTCAAGACTGATGAGCCCTTACTCCGAGCATTAATTCAATTCTGGAACCCGGGATATAGTTGCTTCACTTTTAACCAAGAGGACATGGTGCCTACCATCGAAGAATACACTACACTGCTGCATTGTGAAAGCATCAAGCTTGAACGAGCCTACATTAAACACATCAAAAGCCAGCCCTTCAAGAATGCACTGGCCAAAGTTGCAGGAGTAGATGAGAAATGGGTAATCGATCGGACTCAGCGTAGAGGCAGTGGAGAAGGAATTGAATGGATCCACATAAAACAACTAATGAAAAACCACCCCGATGAGTGGAAGACCATAGACCTTTTTGCACTGGGTCTGTACGGTTTGATTATCTTTCCGAAAGCTTTGGGGTGCATTGACGCTGCCGTGGTGGAACTATTTGAGCAACTTTCTAAACGAGTTAACCCAGCACCAGCCATCTTGGCCGAGACCTTTCGATCGCTCAACCATTGCCGAAGAACTGGCGGAGGAAGATTTACCGGGTGTATTCAGCTCCTTCAGGTCTGGATTCACAGCCATTTCTGGAAGACTAACGGGGTTGTCTACCGCCGTTTCAGCACCACCTATTCACCTCTAGGTGAATTCATCACCTTGAAGTGGCATGAAGGCGCTTCGAAAGAAAAATGGATGAAGGTCTTTACGCATCTTCAGGATCAGGATATTGTCTGGAGAGCCCCCTGACTATTTCTCAGTGACGTTCTTTTCCGATGTGGTGACTCTGACACTGTGACCTTACTTGGACTTTGGGGAGCAGTCGGATATGCTCCGCTATTAGCACTTAGACAGTACGGAGCACGTCAATTTGTCCCAGTAACATGCGGGTTGGCTAAGTCAGAGTTTGAGTATCACGGCGACAGCTATAAGAAGATGATCAAAGAAGCAGCCGATTCGTGGAGGAAAGTATTCCGGATGGATGTTGTAGCTGCCAGAAGCATGCTCACTCCGGATTATGTGGAGTGGCGAAGGTCAAGAAAGAATGACAACATCCCTGTGCCAGACCGTGATGACACCCGGACCATGGAAGAACACCTCATGCATGTCCCTTCTGAACTCGAGATAGCCAAGACCGAGTTTGAAGCCGTGAATAATGAGCTGAAGCAAAGAATAAAGGAACTTGAAGCTGAACGTTATCAGTGGAAGCTTGATGCTGACTCTCAGAAAGATCGGGCAGAAAAATTGGAAAAAGAACAAAAAAGAGTCCGTTTTGAGCTTGAAGACTTGAGAAAAGGGTATCAGGATAAGGTCAAGGATAATTCCAAGTTGAAGGTAACCTCTGAATACTGGAAAGACGAAGCTCATAGC